GTGGAAAAGACGAGCTCTTGAGCTGTACCGTGCAAGATCCCTGGTTTCTTTTACGAACCAGTTTCAGCTCTGACGCGCTCGAAAATTGGAATATTCCCTTGTCCCTCTCATGCACCCACCTATTGGCTTTGGGGCTTGAACACTTTTGTGGTTATTTACGTTACTGTGAATATTCAGTCAAATGTGTGCCAAAATGAAACAAACTTGCAAACGGAGCTGCTCGAACAAACTGCACCAGAGCTTCACGCACTCAGAATCAAAAGTTTTTATTATCCCAAGTGGCTTAAATGAGAGCAGATTTATACACTGCTTTGATTTGAATTTTTAGTTCATCCACAGAGTAAGTTTGATAATGATTCTTGTTATTGGTTTAGAATACGTAACTTAAATAATTTGCATTATCCTCTTACGCTTAATATAGCAATATGTTGATTAGAGTCATTTAACATCAATTTTTAAATTATATTAGTAGGAAATAAGTTGATGTATGCACGGGAACATCAGCTTATGCGTTTTCCACTGATGATTAGTATTACGCATTGGCACCCCTCCTTTATTGTTATCAACACTTTCGTCGAGACAAAAAAAAATATGCCTACTTTGGAAGCAGTAGAAAGTATGAAGAAGGAATAAGCTTTGTATGTAACTTGTGATAATAGTAATCATGTGCAGTTCGTACAGGGGCACATACAACACCTGTAGTCGATTTTGACAATGAAAACAGTCGTCTTTTACACAGTTGTAATACACTACAGTCCATCAATTGAAAAAAATTAAAACCTTTAAAAAAGGTGTTTGAAGAGAAACTTTTAAGGTTATGTTTACAGCGCTCAGACTCTGCTCTCTTGAAGCTTTACCACAATTCTAAACATGCGGCATTTAGACCGGCAATTTTGCAGAGCGACTGAACAAGTGGAAAACGCCCTAGACTATGAAAGAAAGGACTGATATATCCTATCAATGGCAATGCTGCGCGATGCAAGCCTGGGGCGGCCATATTTTTCAGAGCCAAAGTGGGTTTTAATTTTTATTTTCGTGATATGCGATCCTTAAGACTCGACAGTGTGCGATTAAAAAACATTATTGACAATGGTACAGTTGTAGGTGAGCTGTTAAGCCAAAAAACACTTCGAAAGTAGATCGTTCACAGGTAATTATAGGTAGTTTCGAGTTGAAATAACAAAACAAATGTGGGTTTCACTTTACGATCATTATATCACTCTATTCCTTTCTCGTAAAAAAAACGCCAATAGTAAAAAAAAGTCCAATTTCGGCCGACAGAGGGCGCAAGTACGAAAACGGCATAAGTAATTTGGTCAAATTAAGATAGAGCTCTGTTAACTCAAATCAAATACATTACACTCTTTTGAATTACTGATACAGCAAACTTACTCCCACAGCAATGCTTTTGTCAACATACACAAGAAATATCTGAACCAGATCAATTAAGCTCAGGTTAATTGAAAAATACTGAAAAAAGCTTGTTCTATTTATTTTCAGACTGTTCACTTCATTTAAGCAATAAGTTTTAGAACTTCACATAACGTTGGGTTCTGGCTCAGAGATATAAAGTATTGCTTGTAAATGCTTTCAGATAGATTGTATTGAATTTCAATTAATTTTCATTAAAAAGCAGACAAGACAAACAAATCTAACACATACCTACTCTTCTACAATAATTAAATACTAAAATTATTATAAGCAATTACTTAATTAGACAACATTAGACGCTTCTCTATGTTTTTAAGCTTAAAAAACACCCACTGGCCTCGTCATTAAAATAAAAACTACAAGTAAAATGTATGAAATATGAACAGTCAAATGATCCGATTTTTACTGTTAATGTATCACAGTAGTAATATAAAAATAAAAACTGGTTTATCTTCTTT